CGGCTCGAGGCGCTGTGCTTGTATCGAGAAGCACACGGTCATATGAAGGTGCCACAGCGGTACGTCGTGCCAACGTCGTACCCACAGCACTTGCATCACCTGTCGCTTGGCCATTTGGTCAACAACCTGCGCTGTCGAAGCATTGCTTACACGTCCGAACGAGTGCAACGAATTAGCGACCTCGATGCGCTCGGATTCCTCTGGCGTCTGTCGTCCAGGAATGCGACGTTTTGCGTCGTGCATCGCCCAGGCAAGTGCGCGCCCATGTCACAGCTCGTCGCGTGGTCGGAGCAGATCGAGGCGCTACTCGTCTTTCGGCGTCTGCACGGCCACGCCAATGTGCCCGACGGGTTCATCGTGCCACCGCAGACGCCGTGGCCGCTTCGGATGCATCACGTCGCTCTCGATCTCGCACTCACGTCGCTGCGCGCGCATGTCTACGAGCTGCCCAAGACCGACGCCGACCGGCTCCGAGAAGCTGGTTTCTTTGCCGATCTGCCCGACTTTAGCACATTCATTGAGCTGCTCGCCATCTATCGCACCGAATTTGGCTCTAGCGCCGTCCGCATCGACTTTGTCGTGCCTCCATCGGGCGGTCCCTGGATCAACGTCTGGCGCGGCTTGGCCCTCGGCGATCTTGCGTGGTCGGTCGGCTTGAGAGCTCGGGCGCTCGAGGCAACGCAGCACGACGACCTGCAACGAGTCGGCTTTGTCTTCAACGTCGATGCGACGTGGGCCAACATCGTACATGGACTCGAGCACTTTCGATCTCTGTACGGTCCACTGGCGGTCCCAACGAGCTTTGTGGCTCCAGCTACGTGGCTGAGCGACCTCGCCGGACTGCGCCTTGGACACTACGTCGAGCGCATGCACACGGCAAAGCGACTGCGTCTGCTGCCACCGGCCACAGCATCAACCTTTGCAGCGCTCACGCAGATTCCGCCCGTCGCCTCATCGTTGTGGGCGCCCCCGCGCGATGCAAACGCACGCCTTGAGGTTCTGCAGCAACTTCGAGACATTGTGCGTGTCGTCCGTGACGTCTATACCGTCGTACCCAACGACTTTGTCGTGCCCGCGAGTGGCTCTGCGTGGCCAGCAGACAGTGACGGCGTTCAGCTGGGTGTGCGTCTGCGCTGGTTTTGGCAACACAAACAACTCTCGGTGCCCGTGTGCGACGAGATCCGCGCTCTCGGCGTCCGAGTCGCCAACCGCAGCGCCATCACGAATAAGTTACCACCCACCGCGCCAGCACTGAAGTACCGCACTTGGACGGCCCACGACAAGATGCGCGCCCTCGGTTTCTATCGACATTTGCACGGGTCGGCTCGCGTGCCCGTACGACGTATCCGGTTCCGATAGCATCGCCATGGCCGCCGCAGCTCCAAGGTGTCCCAGTCGCCGTCTTTGCAAACAACCTTCGCTATTATCCCCGAGTGCTCGACGACAAACTCGAGGTGCAGCTCAAGCTCGTGGGCTTCTCGTGGCCGACGTCCTGGGTTCCGTCTTCCCGCTGCGTCAAGCGTACGACGCGCGGTGCGCTTGTTGTCGGGATGGTCCCGATTGCTGCGCAGGTCGCAGCCCTTCATACGTATCAGTGCCTGGTCGGCGACGTGCTTGCGATGCCAAAGGACTTTGCCGTGCCTCGGAACGACGCCGCTTGGCCAACTGGCAGCAGCGACATTGTGCTCTCGTATGTGCTTCCGTCGCTGCGGTATCACTGGTTCGAGCTCGCACCAGAAGACGAGGCAACCGTCCGAGCGTTGGGTCTCTTTACTGACGTTCCGCCCTTTGACGTATTTGTCCAGCTGGCCTTTCGTCTCTCCTGCGATGACAAGACGACCGTACCGCTGGACTTTGTGGTGCCCACCGAATGGTCGGCGTCGTGGCATGACGCACCGCTGGGCGAGCTCGCGTGGTCGCTCGGGGTGCGAATGACGCAACTTGAGAAGAACAAGTCGCAGCAGCTAGCGGCGATCGGCTTTGCCTTCAACACACCTGCGACGTGGGCGCACATCGTGGACGGACTGCGCACGTACCACTCGCTCTATGGCTCGATGGACGTACCAGAGGACTTCCTTGTACCTCAAACTGCCAGTTGGCCGGAAGACATGCACGGCATGCGCCTCGGCCATTGCGTCAAGTTCCTCGTCACAGCAAGAGAGCTCTACTTGCTGCCGGCCGCGACCACCACCGCAATCGATGCCATCGGAGCCGATGCTCCAATGCCAGAAGCTGTGTCAATATCGGTGGGCGTGAACGCGGCGACGCCCGCCATCTCTGCGGCGGCAACCAGTGATACCATCGGAGCCGATGCTCCGCCGCCAGAAGCTACAACATTGTCAAGCGACGAGAACTCGGCGGCGCTAGCCATCCTTGCCTCGGCAGCCACCACCACGGTCGTCCAACCAGCCGCCAACGAAGTCGTCGCTGCGCCGTTGCCAGTAGTCGTCGCTGCGCCGTTGCCAGTAGTCGTGTCACCGTTGCCAGCAGATGACCCTCTGCCAAGCGTCGCTCTCGAGCAGCCGGCAGTACAAGCAGCTCCCGCGCTCGATGTTGACACCGACACGAACGAGCGCTGCGACCACCTCGTTGCGCTGGATCTGTGGCTCCACGCGACGCCACGCCCGAGCGATTCGACGCTTCTCGGCTCTGTATCGCCAGCGTGTCCAGTTGCACTGCAACCATTGTCGGTGGGCGCATTTTTGCTCGAACTCGAAGTCGGACAAGCGTTTACGCATCTGCAGTCGGCCCTCGACGATCGGCAATTCGACCGCCAAGCTCGGTGGGCGATCAAGTTCCAGGCGCTC